GCCGACAAAGGAGTACTCATAAGACTGGCAGCTGATTTCTCAAAAGAAACAATGCAGGACAGAAGGGCTTGGCACAAAATTTTCAATGTGATGAAGACCCAAGAACTACAACCAAGAACGCTTTATTCAGGAAAGCTATCATTTAGAGATGAAGGACAGATAAAGAGCTTTGCAGACAAAATTAAGCTACAGGAATTTATCAACACCAAGCCAGTATTACAGGAAATGTTGGAGGGTCTTCTTTAAGGAAAAAAAAAATGTATCAAAAAGAAGAATAAAGAATTGTAATAACTACATTCCTATCAATAAGTACCTCAATGGAAAAGAATTAAGTGCTCCCCCTCCCAAAATGGAATGGCTGAATGGATTAGAAAACAAGACCCCTACATATGCTGCCTACAAGAGATTAAAAGATTAAAAGACACTTCAGATTAAAAGACACACACAGACTAAAAGGAAGGGGATGGAAAGAGATATTGCTTTGATGGACCTAGCAGGTAATTAAGTCAGACAGAAAAAGATAAACACTTATATGATTTCACTTATATGCGGAATCTAAGGAACAAAAAGAACAAACTAATCAAAAACAGACTCACAAATATTGTGGACAATTTGGTGATGGACAGAGGGGAGGGGGGTTTGGGGGGCTGGAAGAATGGGGTGAAGGGTTAAAGAAATACAAATTAGTAGCTGATGGATCGTCATGGGGATGGGGAGCATGACAGAGGGAATGTAGTTGGTATTAATATTTTGGCTAGGTGGAAGGTCAGGGGAAGGAGGAAGCAATTGAGGGGATCATTTTATGAACTGTATAGATGTCTAACCAATGTACTGTGTACTTGAAACTAATTGAAATAAATAAAATTTTTCATAAAGTACACCAATTACAAATGCAGGAAACATTGAACAGTCTCAGATATGATGGGTAACATAATCAAAGATAAGCCTTTCAAAAGCAGTAGTACTTACGAAGGTTCATCAATGACTGTTCTCAAGGCATTGAGCAAATCTGCACTTGTCATTGTGTTTATGTTCACCTCCACAGCCGCTCCTTTGGCCTTCATGTGAGCAATGTTATCAGGCTGATCAGCAAACATGGGGATGCCCACCATAGGGATCCCATGATAAATAGCTTCATAGATCCCATTGGTTCCACCATGAGTGATAAAAGCTTTTGCTTTGGGATGACCTAGTTTGAGGGTTGGGTGAGAAGTTGGTTAGAATTTTATTACAATAGTTTAACAGAATTTCAGAGGATAATTGAGAAAAACTGCAAGATAACTCAATGAAAAAGGCAATATTTCCTACAGAAGCTGAGCACAGGAGTTATTGCTATTTCAGAAAATCGTGATCCCAGGAAAAAGTGGAATTGACTCCCTCTGCATTGTCTGGAAAGACTTTACTGAGAAAGTGATATTGGAACTGAGACTGAAATTTGAAAAGTGATGAGAGTCTTAACTGAACATGCTCTTTTGTGAACCAGAGGAAGCAGAAATCTATAAACAATGGCCAATTTTTAAATTATACCTGCCTTAAATATGCAATAAAATGTAAAAAATTTATATTATTAAACATGTATTAAAAATATTTGCTGTTAAACAGTTACTCAATTTGCCCATGATCAAACTATACAGCTTTTTCCCCTCGGTCTTACCAAGAAGATCATTCTGGGGTATCCAGTCATAGAGCCGAGTATTGGCTCCTAATGTGGCTGGTTTCTTTCCTTTGTATCTCCATAAAATCTGTGGAAGACAATGCTTTCATTTTGCAAGTAAAAACTTACAGTTAAGAATTTTTACCTTTTTTTTGTGGTAAAGAAGGAAACTATTCAGTATGAACAGCTCAATTATGGGACAGCATGGCTGCTGGCTGCAAAGGAACCCCGAGGTCAGTCAGCCTGTGGTGTGACCCCTCTCTGGCTAGACAGCTAAGCTCCAGCAGGCTCTGCAAAGCTATCTTAGGTGTTCTAGCTCCAGCCGGGAAAATGCAGTCCTCAATCTTAAGTAGAAAAGGAAGTTCACCCTCTGAACCAGAGAGGGCCTGTCTTATTTAGAGAGATGTTCCTACCCCTGGTCCCTGATTGACCCATCCTCATGCAAATAAGGACTCCACATCCTAACAGTTCAATTGGTCCACAAAACACTTTCCTGATTGGTCGGGGTAGAGCTGCTCTGAGTGGTCAGTGAAGATGTTAATGAGGATATAGCTGCATAGCTCCAATTGGACAGGGAAAGTCTCTGTCTTGTTGGTTGAAATATGATTCCAGGAACTCCTACAAAAGGGTTAGCTCAGATGGTAGGAAAAATGTAGGCTGGCAGTTCAGTGTGTCAACTGATGGTCGATGGCGCCAATTCAGCCTCAACAGGAATCTCCAATCTGGGGTGCACTGAAGAAGGAAACTTTATTCAGTGCAGACAGCTCAGCTGTGATATAGCCCACTGTGAGTACAACACAGCTGTGGAACCGCTCAAAGTGTTACACTCAATTATGAAGCAGCATGGCTATGAAACAACACCGATATGAGGAAGCCCTAGGATATGGTCCTTCTGTCTTGACAGCTCAACTCTGCTCTGCTCTGCCCTGCTCTGCTCTTCCTGCTCTTCTCAGCTCTGTTTTGGCAAGACATTTTTGGAATTTTTTCTCTGGTGTTTTAGCTCCAGCTTGGGACATACAGTCTTCAGTCAAAAGGGAAAGTGAACTAAAGAATTTTAAGGCTCTAGAGTAATTTAAAAATCATGTAGCCCCACCCTGCTTTATGTGATAGTTGAGAGGAATGTACAAAAGGGATAGTTTGCAAACATTGAGAGAGTAGGACATTGACATCAACCTTTTTTGAAAAGGCTTGTGCTAATAGTCAATTAAGTACAGTATTATGACTTACAAGTGATATTTATCAATTAAAAACTGTGAGTAAGATTGTAAGTGAAGAAATAGAAAACAAACAGGACTTGTTTAGGCAACCAGAAGTGGAGACTGAAAACATTAAAACAAATAAGAATACTGTGTAAACTTACTTATGTCAGGAGGCCATCCTAACTCTCAAAGTTCGAATGTAATGTTTTCCAAAAATATAATTAGTTTTAGATTTTTATTGTGTGATTTTTCAATGTATTGTCTTTTCTTCCTCCATATTTCTCTTTCACTTTTCCTTCGTTCTTTCCTTCCTTCTTTCTTTCTTTCTTTCTTTCTTTCTTTCTTTCTTTCTTTGTTTCTTTCTTTCTTTCTTTCTTTCTTTCTTTCTTTCTTTCTTTCTTTCTTTC